GCTTTGCTCACTCAGCATGTTTTCAAGATTCATCCATGTTGTAGCCTCATTCTCTTTTTTTTTTTAGCTTATTTATTTATTTTGAGAGAGAGCGCAGGGGAGGGGCAGAGAGAGAGGGAAAGAGACAGAATTCCAAGCAGGCTCCACACCAGCAGCGCGGAGCCCAATGTGGGGCTAGAATCCAAGAACCGTGAGATCGTGACCTGAGCCAAAACCAAGAGTTGAAAGCTTAACGGACTGAGCCACCCAGGCGCCCCAATACCTCATTCCTTTTATGGCTAAACGACTGTCCATTGTATGGATAGATCCTAGTATTTTGATCCATTCATCAGTTGATGGATATTTGCAGTGTTTTCACTTTTCGGCTGTTAGCACAAGTACAACTACGAACGTTAGTGTACATGCTTTTGTGCAGACCTGTGTTTTTAATTCTCTTGTGTATGTACCTAGAGTACCAGCCAGACCCATTTCCAAAAAGGCTGCGCTGTTTTACATTCCCACCAGCAATATGTGAAGGTGCTGATTTCTTCACGTCGTTCCCAACACTTGCTAACCTGTCTTTTAATGACAGTCATCTTGGCGGATGTGAAAGGGCATCTCACTGTGGTTTTGATTAGCATTTCCTTAATGATTGATGATGTTGAGCATCTCTTCATGTGCTTAGTGATCATTTGTATATCATCTCTGGAGAAATGTCTACTCACATATTTTGCCCATTTTCAAGCTGGTTTATTTGTCTCTACTGTTGAGTTGCAGTAGTTCTAAACCCTCATCATATATATGATTTGTCAGCATTTTCTCCCCCCTGGGGGTTTTTCTTTTCATTTTCTTGATCGTTTCCTTTGAAGCACCAAAGTTTTTAATTTTGATGAAGTCCACTTTTTTAACTGCTTGAGCTTTTGGTGTCATATCAAAGAAACCATTGCCTAATCCAAGGTCACAAAGATTTACCCCTATGTTTTCTTCTGTGAGTTTTATTGTTTATAAATGCATAGTCTTATTTATATAAATCTGTATATAGTTTTATAGGGAACCTCTGCCCTTTAGGTCTTTAATGTATTTTGAGTCTGGGCATATGGTATGAGGTAGGGGTCCAGCTTCATTCTTTTTGCACGTGGCTGTCCAGTTGTCCTGATCCCGTTTGTTGAAGACACTCTTCTTTCCCCATTGAATGGCCCTTTGTCGAAAATCACCTGATGCTAATATATGAGTTTATTTCTAAACTCTCGTTTCTTCTATTACGTTGATCCCTCCGTCTGCCCTTATGATAGTAATGCAGTGAATTTTGACATTGGGAAGTGTCAGTCCCCCAGATTTGTCCTCCTTTTGCAAAATTATTTTTGCTCTTCCCGGCCCTTTGCGGCAAGTTGTTTTCGTAACATGCTAAGTGGTAGCACGCCATAGCCCTGTGGTACGAGCTGTGAGTTGTAGAAACAGATCAAAGGCATTTGGAGCCCAATGTACTCAGTCAGACTGGTGAGGAATAAAGGCAAGGATGTGAAGCGTGTGACAGTTCCTGCTGGGGTTTCCGTGTCATGCTGAGGGCAGTTTTCATAGGCACAGTAGATGCCTATGCAGTATCTTGGGTGCAGTATCTTGGGAATAGGTGCAGAACCCCCCATGATGATCCGTCCCTCCTTCCTCCTTCCCTCCCTCCCTCTGTCTCAGTCACACTCTCGTGCTCCCTCCTTCCTTCCTTTTCAAACATGTTTCTTGAGGCGCCTGGGTGGTTCAGTCGGTTGAGCGTTCGACTTCGGCTCGGGTCATGATCTCGCAGTTCGTGAGTTCAAGCCCCGCGTCGGGCTCTGTGCTGACACCTCAGAACCTGGAGCCTGCTTCCGATTCTGTGTGTCTCTCTCTCTGCCTCTTCCCTGCTCATGCTGTGTCGCTCTCTGTCTTTCAAAGATGAATAAGCGGGTACAAAAAAAATTTTTTTAATGTTTCTTGAGTGCCGAAAATGGATTTTTTCATAGACACTAAATACTAGGAACACAAAAATGAACAAGATCTAGATGATACCTGCTCTCTTCCAGCTTGCATCCTGGTGGGAAGGCCAGATAATAAAATGGTGAAGATAATTATAAATTGTGGTAGGCAGTATAAAGGGAAAACGGTAGTGTTATGATTAAGAATATCAGAGAAATGCTCTCAGAGGAAATGACCTAAGAGATTGAGAGGGAGTGAGCCAGGCCAGGGCCGGGGTGAGGTTCCAGCCAGAGGGGGACAGTGCGTGCAAAGGCCCCGTGCTGGGAAAAACTTGGTGGGGTCAAGGAACTGAATGGGGACCAGCATGGCCATAGCAAGTGTGAGGGCGGCCAGCTCACTCAAGGACACGGAGAAAACTGGATTTCATTCTCAGCACATTTTAATGCACACCAAAGTTCTGACCGGGGGTTAGAGCTTTGGTGCCCCTGGAAACAGTTTAAAATAACATTTCCGAAGAGTTTTTAATGATATGGGATGATTCTCACCATGTGTCGTTGATTTTAACAAATGGAGTATGTAACTAAATACTTGCTGTGTTCCCAGTTTGGCTTTAAAACGTGGGGATAAGGGCTGCCTGGGTGGCTCAGTCAGTTAAGCATTCAACTCGATTTCAGCTCAGGTCATAATCTCATGGTTCGTGAGACTGAGCCCTGCACTGGGCTCTGCGCTGACATCACAGAACCTGCTTGGGATTCTCTCTCTCTGACCCTCTCCCATTCTCTCTCTCTCTCTCTCAAAATAAAAAAATAATAATAAATAAATAAATAAATAAATAAATAAATAAAACATGAGGATGGGTGTGCCTGGGTGGCTCAGTTGGTTAAACATCCAACTCTTGACTTCCGCTCGGGTCATGATCTCACAGTTAGTGAGTTGGAGCCCCTCACTGGACTGGACTCTGTGCTGACAGTATGGAGTCTGCATCTGATTCTCTCTCTTTCTCCCTCCCCTCCACCACTCTCTCACTCTCTCTCACTCTCTCTCTCAAAATAAATAAATAAACTTAAAACCGGGGATGAGCCACAAAGTCCCCAGAAAGAGACTTATTTCCATGTTGGCAGTGGTTGTCCTCGGGCATGTCCTTTCCTTTCTCTTTTTGCACTTTTCCGTCTTTTCCGAGTTTTCTACAGTGGCCCGATGTCATTTTAGAATCTGAAAGCAAGGTGGACATTTCTGTTAAAATGCGTACTCCTGGGTGCCCCGGGGGGGAGGGGGGTACAGCAGATGAGGGGGCCTGGGGAGGAGGCAGTGGGCCAGCCCTACGTTGGATCTGGGGCACCCCTCGCTGACCCAAGCCACCTCTTCCCAGTTCGAGGGCTGCTCAAAGGCCTACTCCCGCCTGGAGAACCTGAAGACGCACCTGCGGTCCCACACTGGGGAGAAACCATATGTGTGTGAGCACGAGGGTTGCAACAAGGCCTTCTCCAATGCCTCAGACCGCGCCAAGCACCAGAACCGCACCCACTCCAATGAGGTACGCCGGCCAGGGTGTGCACGGCACGTGTGCGTGGGGCCCCGCTGACACTCGAGTAGATGCGTGCCTTCTAGACTTCTGTAGGCCATCAGGTGGCCAGGTGCCTGATGCCCCTCCCCTCCTCCCTGACCTGCGGTCTGAGCTCAGCACACGTCGGCAGGCCCCTGGGCAGCTGGCACCGACGTGCTGTCGCGGCTAATGCCGTCTGACCTGCCGTAGCTGTCAGCCCCCTACGGATGGGGCACAGGGTGGCCTTTGTCTCCCCAGCTAGCCAGAGCCCCTGGCAGGGCTGAGAGAGCCCAGGGAGAGCAGTCTGCCGTACTGCCTCCCAGTCCGAGCCCAGCCGCCCAACTGCTTTTGCTCAGGTAGACTCGGGAAGGAACATTTCTAAAAGCTTAGATACATTTTGGACCCCAAAGGGATTTCCTCCAACGCTTGCAAGAAATCAGAGGAATTCCCAAAGGAATCTAAACCCCGTAGGGCCTCTGCAGACAACAGCTCGCCTCGGCGAGGGGTGTGTGCGTGTGTGTGTGTGTGTGTGCGTGCGTGTGTGTATTATATGGGTCTTTTGTGGACGTGGATTTGTAGGATGTGTGTGCGTGTGGATGTTTATGTACATGTGCATATGTGTGTGCGTGTGTGAGTGTGAGTCTGCACGGACATGTGTGAGCATGTGTGTACGTGTGTGTGTGGGTATGGGGGAGTGTCTACACGCGGGTGTGGGGTATATAGGTGTGCGTGTGTGTGTGAGCTCAGGACTGAGGTTCAAAAACCCTGGGTTTTCGTCCTGTTCCTAAGTGACTTCGAGCCCGTTTCTTTGCCTCTGTGAACCTGACTTTCCTCACCAGAAAAACCGGGGTGTTAAATGCTGTCTCGCAGGTGTCACAGAGCAACATGAAAACATCCCAGTGCCCTGATGACAGGGGAGGCAGCAGGCCCACCACACTCTGTATCCCCACTCCTTCCGTTGTCTCTGATCTGGGTCCCTAGCTAGTGATGAGGGCTTCCTCAACCATGTGCTTACCCGCATGAAAAGACGGCAGATGAGACCAGAGGGGCCACGCTCCTGCAGGCCCGGGGCTGGCGTGGCTCCCTTCGGGCACACTGGCTGTAGATGAGCTCGAGCACCTTCCGACTGCCGGCCGGGCTCTGCCGAAGGACATGACATGGCTTCAGGAGACTGGGAAGCGCTCCCTCTCACAGTCTGTCTTTACGTCCCATGCATAACACAGGCCTCCTCCTTCTCTTCCCAGAAACCCTACATCTGCAAGATCCCAGGCTGCACCAAGCGATACACAGACCCCAGCTCTCTCCGGAAGCATGTGAAGACGGTACACGGCCCAGATGCTCACGTCACCAAGAAGCAGCGTAACGACGTGCACCTGCGCGCCCCGCTGCTCAAGGAGAACGGGGACCACGAGGCCAGTGCCGAGCCCGGGGGCCGGGGCTCGGAGGAGAGTGCCGAGGCCAGCAGCACCAGCCAGGCCGTGGAAGACTGCCTGCACATCAAAGCCATCAAGACCGAGAGCTCCGGGGTAAGCAGAGCTGGGCAGTGGAGGCCCCAGTCCATGCCTCCCACCCACCCCCAGGAGGTCCGGCCCAGCAGCACGAGGGCCCAGAGCCCCAGCTGCCGCGTGGGGTCTGCGTCGGGGTCCCCCGCTCTAAGTGCGCGATGACGTACATCCTCCTCTCTCCAGCTCCTTTTCCTCCCTTCACTACCTTGGGCCTCTCGTAGAACCTGTCTTGTGCCACGTCCCATGCTGCTGGGCAGGGCCACGGGCAGCGGGGATGCCTGCCCCCCAAGTGGTCATTCTGCGGGCGGTTCCTGGGGTCTGCCTGGCCGACCGGCACCATTTGCGCCACGGTCGGTCCCCTCCCTTCTGTCCTGTCTCTGCGTCCTTGCCCCCGTGGCCTCCACTCCTTTTGTTCTAACCACCTGTTCTTTGTCTCCACCTCTTTTTCTCGACTGTACCTCCCCTAAGGATAGACGGTACTGAGGTGAGCAGAGAAGCCCGGTGGGGGTGCGGGCGGGCTGGCGCGATGCGGGCGGGCTGGGGTGCTTGTCCAGGGCTAATGCGTAGGCATGGACTGACTTGTCGGTCCAGGCCCCTCAGGAGCCTGGCAAGGTGGGTTTGGACAGGTAGACACCAAGCGATGCAGGTGGAACCCTGGGGACAGATAGAGGCTGGCAGCAGAAGTCAAGCTGGCAGGTATAGGAGCAAACCGTGGGGCCCACCCTCCAGGAGGGACAGGGCCGAGTTGGGGTGTGAGTTCAGGCCACAGAGGAGGGAGGGACCAGCTGACAATGGATCTTGAATGCCAACATGAAAAGTGTGGGTCGTGCTGTGGGCAGAAGGGAGCACTGTAGCTTCCCAAGGAAAAATCTGGAATTTGGGGGCTGTTGGCCTAGGAATGAGCCCAGAGGTGCTACATCTGAAGTGAGCCTCGGCCGGGCTCAGATCCCAAGTCCCAGGGAAGGTAGCTCAGGCTCTATGGAGTCCTGCATTGTACACGTGGGCTATGAGCTCTCTGCCCCAGTCCGCATCGGCTAGTTTGGGGTGGCCGTTCGGGCAAGGGCCTGGATCCAGGAGGTCCACCTTCCCTGGTCTTCCTTGCCCTTTCCAACAACCTGCGTCTGGCCTGTTGAGAAAGCAGCAGGTCAGCGGGCCTCTGCCGTTCCTTGCTACATCATACGGCACCTCCCTGTCATTGGGCACATTAAGTACCCCCCTTGAGGTCATCTTCATGCAGCCGTGGCAGCCTCTGTGGGGGACAGCTTCCAAGTGCCCATACGTTGAAAGCCCCACATGCAGAGGTCTGGCCCCGATGCTGGCTAGGAGAACAGAGGAGCACGAGGCAGGGGAATGGGGAGCTGTCCATTACTGGTGCCTTCTGTGAACCGGATGCTTGCCGTCCAGCCACTGACCCTGTCCCAGAGGCAGCACAGGTCCATCTTACAGCTGGGGAAGCTGAGGCTCAGAGAAGTGAGGTGGCCAAACAGAATGATGCTTGGAAGCTCCTCCACGTGGGAGCTTCCTTCCTGGGTGTGTAAGGGCCCGGCGGGCTCTCGCACCCTCTGAGCCTGTGCCCTCTCGCCACGCCCCTATAGCTGTGTCAGTCCAGCCCCGGGGCCCAGTCGTCCTGCAGCAGCGAGCCCTCTCCCCTGGGCAGTGCCCCCAACAACGACAGCGGCGTGGAGATGCCGGGGACTGGGCCTGGGAGCCTGGGAGACCTGACAGCTCTGGATGACACGCCCCCGGGGGCCGACGCCTCAGCCCTGGCCGCTCCCTCTGCTGGTGGCCTGCAGCTGCGCAAACACATGACCGCCATGCACCGGTTCGAGCAGCTCAAGAAGGAGAAGCTCAAGTCACTGAAGGATTCCTGCTCCTGGGCCGGGCCGGCTCCACACACCCGGAACACCAAACTGCCTCCCCTCCCGGGAAGTGGTGAGTGGAGGCCCCGGGTGCGTGGGTAGGGGCAGGGGAGAGCCTGGGGCGAGCACCCACTAGGTTAACCATCGAATGCCACCTGCCATGGCACCAGATGCCCACAATAGGATGGCTTTTAGCAGCCCATTGCACAGATGAGGAAGGTGAGGCTCAGAGAGGTGAAAGTGCCCTAAACAGACCAACGGCAGAGCTGAGACAGCCCGGGCCATGCATCTGCCGAGAGCACCACGGCCAAGGCTCTAAGGAGGAGAGCAATACACCCCCAGTCCCTGTGGTCAGAAGGAGCCTATGGTCGGAGGGCCATGCCATGAGATGCGCACTCGACGGGGAAGGAGCCAGGAAGCGACGACAGAGCTCAGGGTGGAGCTGTGCAGAGGAGGGAGACAGCAGGTCAGCTGAGGAAGAGCACAGAGGGCTTCATGGAGAAGACAGCCTCAGGAGGCATTGACCAGGCTCTGACGTGCAAAGCGTCTTCGGGGGCATTTCCTGAGCGCTGACTCTGTGCCAGGCAGTGTGCCCTCCCAGGGACGGACAGCCAGTGTGGTGGACACTGAGAGGCGCCAGCTTTTGCTTGCAAGGAGGATTTGTTGCCCCAGCTGTTGAGGGACCTGCTGGTGAAAGGCCTTCAACTGTCAGCCTCATACAGAAATCGCCTGGGTGGCAGACAGCTGCCTTACCCAAGGTCACCCCTTCCTGGGGTGGCCCCCATCCAGTGACTGATCCCTGCAGGAGTGTCAGGCCGTTCAAGGCTCAGAGCCCCCTGTGACATCAGCTGTCATTGGGCCTGCGTCACCACACACTTCTCCCTGCGCGCTCTGGGGCCTTTGCTGTCTTCCATGGGTGTGGATCTCAGGGGGCTGGCTAAGCAGCCTGCCCAGTAAACCCAGCCCCTAGGGAGCCCACCTGGCTACCCCCAAACACAGAAGGTGAAGGTGCAACCAGGCTGTGGCCAGGGCCCTCTGGGCTCTCCCCCACACACACACACATACACACACACACACACACACACACACAC